GAAAAGAGCAAACTCTCCCCCGTGCAGAGGATCTCTTTTCTCGGTATGGAGTTGGACTCGGTCAATCTAACAGCACGCCTCTCAGTAGAGCATGCCCAGTCGATGCTGAACTGCCTGGAGTCAGCGCAGGAGGGCGGTGCCACTGAAACAGTTTCAGAGGCTCCTGGGGCATATGGCATCCGCTGCCACGGTCACGCCACTTGGATTGCTTCATATGAGACCGCTTCAGCGTTGGCTTGACCGAGTCCCGAGATGGGCATGGCAATGCGGCACTCACCGGGTCTCAGTCACCCTGTCCTGCCACCAGACTTTCAGCCTGTGGTTGGACCTTGCCTTTCTTCAGGAGGGAGTTCCCTAGTGCAAGTGTCCAGGCATGTTGTTGTCTCAACAGATGCCTCTTCCATAGGCTGGGTGGCCATGTACAACGGGCATGCAGTATCGGGCGCCTGGACAGGGCCTTGACTGCAGTGGCATATCAATTGCCTCGAGTTGCTAGCAGTATAACTTGCTCTGCGCCACTTCAAATCGCTGATACATGACAAGCACGCACTGGTCCGAATGGACAATACTGCGACCATTGCGTACGTCAACCACCAAGGCTGTCTACGCTCCCGTCGCATGCCGCAATTCGCCCGCCATTGCCTCCTTTGTAGTCAGAAGCATCTGAGGTCGCTTCGTGCCATTCACATCCCAGGTGAGCTCAATCGTGCAGCCGACGAGCTCTCATGCCGGCCCGCCCTTCCGGGAGAATGGCGACTCCACCCTGAGACAGTCCAGCTGATCTGGAGATGCTTTGGGAACGCTCAGGTAGATCTGTTTGCCTCTCCGGACATGTCCCACTGCCAGCTGTTCTACTCCCTGTCCGAGGGGACCCTCAGCACAGATGCACTTGCACACAGCTGGCCTCAGGGCCTACGCAAGTATGTGTTTCCCCCAATGAGCCTTCTCGCATAGACATTGTGCAAGATCAGGGAGGACGGGGAGCAGGTCCTCTTAGTAGCCCCATACTGGCCCAATCAGACTTGGTTCCCAGAACTGATGCTCTTCGCGACAGCCCCTCCTTGGCGTTTTCCTCTGAGGAAGGATCTCCTTTCTCAGAGAGGGGGCACTCTCTCGCACCCGCGCCCAGACCTGTGAAATCTCCACGTGTGGTCTCTGGAAGGGACGCGAAGGTCCTAGGTTGTCTGCTCTGCTCTGTCACCCGCTCGGTGTCAATCAACGCTTGCCGCGCCATTCCCCTCTACGAACCGGATACGTGCGCTTAAGTTCTTCTCAGTTCAGTTTCCCATTTGGTGAACCTTGTTGAAGTTCCTCCCGCACCCTTGACGGTCAGGTGTAGCGGAGGGTCGGGCGTTGGGCATGTGTATGCCCAAGGTCAGTCCTTGTTCTGGGCTAGGTGCCCGTGTGTAGTGATTCCCCCTTTGGGTGATCTCACATGTGTATTCTTCCACGGTACGGCTCCCCTCTCAGTGAGCCTGTGTCTTTCCCTGGCAGAGATTCCCTACCGTCTCTGCTGCGTATTGATCTCACCCCAGGCTGGCCGAGTCTACCACAGTGACTTTCCATATGTAGCACTGCCGATGGCCAGTCCATACTGTATGTGTAATTTCCACATAATACCTCCTATACGCAGGATGTGGCTTCCATAGCGTTCCCCTACTTGGGTACGCTTTCCCAGTGTTATCCAATATCCCACTGTATGGAACAGGCGGACACCTCTGCCTAAGCCATGTCCTATCTTCTGCCCAACTGGGGACTTGCCGGCTTTCGCAGGGCACTGGAGGAGGTCAGCAATAGTGGCGCTTTCATAGGGATCCAAATTCGTCAGTCACTGCTGGATGTGACCAGGGGGATGCTGCACACTGGTGGTGGTTGAGGAGATGCCCCCTTCTATGTAAAGCGCTTTGAGTGCCCAGAAAAGCGCTATATAAATGTAAGGAATTATTACTTTTTTTTCGAACGTGACAGCTTGAAAGGGAATGTCTCGGTTACGTATGTAACCCTGGTTCCCTGAAGGAGGGAACGGAGACATTATGTCCCGTCGCCACATTTGCTGTACCACCGTCTCAGCGAAATACTGAATGTGTGACTGCACGCACTCTCCTTATATACCCGCGCTGCGGGGCGGGGTGCACGACGCAAAGCTTGCAAGCCAACACTTATTGGCTTGTTTTGTTAACACTCGGAGGTGGTTGGGATCTCTAAAGAGAGATCCCAATTCGTCAGTCACTGCTGATGTAACGTCTCCATTCCCGCTTTCAGGGAACAAGGGTTACATACGTAACCACAATGTTTTATTTTGGAGGATTAGTTTTATTGGTTTTGTTTAAACAGGATATTTCATTCTTTAAGCTGTACTAATAATGCTACATGATTTTAATAGCTGAGAGAAGTATATGTATATTTATATAAGTGCTTGTGTCTTAGCATTTGACACTGGATATCTGTTGTTCTATTAAATTCGACAAAGTAAGTCTGTGTCACATGCATTAAAACATGCACAGTGGATCTGTATAGGATGTTATGAACAATGGAACACTGAAACTATTAAACATATCAAAGTAACACTTTGGTACCATCTTCTGGTTAAAAAAACTATATGCCACCCCCAATTTCTGTAAGACTACTGGCAAATCAATATCTAAAAGATTGAATACTGATCCATTATTGTTATTTGCTAATGCCTATCATTGATTACTAAATCTGAAAATATAGTGCAAGGATATTACATCTTAAATAATGTGTGGGTAGAGCACATACAGTGCATGCAAGATATAATAACAACTGTAAACTAAATGTTTTATATACATTTAAAATATATTTCTAATTTAAAGTTGACATTTATTAACCATACCATGCAACTGTGCCATTTCTTCATTCCAAAGAAATTTTGTTTTGTCTTTTATTTCATTTAAAATTAAATATACATTAACTACATTATTGGAAATGAAATATTATTGTAATATTTTCTTTACATATAGTTGATACAGCTAGACAGTTTTCAAAAGGGCAATAAATATAAGGTTATATAAGAGTCAAAATTCCAATTATACAAATATGTGTGTTATCTTAAAAAAAGTGTTTCTATATGTTCGAACATATAGTTCAAAAATATACCCAGGCAAAATAAAAAGTGTGCACTTCCATAATGTACTTAAAGTGCTCTATTTTCATGCACTAATTTTGTACTTAATATACTATATATGATTATTTAGTACTACTTAAGATAATCTTAAAAACATCTAAGTGTACTCAAATGTGCTATTTTGGGACACCATGAATATAAATTAAAATGTGCTTTTAACATACTTTCTCTGGATTAAAAAAATAAATTTAGTCACCACTTGTAGAACACTTGAACCAATCTTTCATACACTAGGGTTCAAGTGTACTACA